GTATAACAGAATAGCTTTAGTGTTTTGTTTTTTAAAACTTGAGTATGAACTTATACAAAATGCAGCAAGAAAGTTTTATTGATTACAAAATACACCATATCTTATTCATATCGGTATCGGCAGATATCCAAATCTATGATATTGGTATCGGTATCGGACATAAAAAAGTGGTATCGTGCCATCTCTAATGAAAATATATAATTCACCATAACGCTAAATCAATGAAAGCCCTGTGCTTGTTTCTCTGCAACAAATGTAATGATGGACAATGACACCCAAAGTGTGCCGTCATATCCCCTGATGTAAAATGTTCTTTTTTCATTTAAACAGCTGACTCTGAATTAAATCTAACATAAAAAAATATTTAAATTCAGGAGGAAACATTTTCATAATATGACGGGTGAAATTGGCAGCTCTCCAAGTAAGACTGAAGTATTAAATAAAACGGTCCAGTTATGAAGCTGAACTTTAATCTCAGCCAAACCGATTTACTCAGGAACAAACACTGAAATAAACCAAACATTTAGAAGTGATCTAAGTGACTTATATATATCGTGTTTATATATCGTGTTTAACCCAAGTACCGAAAGACTGCAGGGGGTTTGAAAATGATGTGCTGGGAGTCTGCGCCTTGACCACCCAATTAGCTGGACTGGGACAAAAATCACCGACTACACCACCAGGTGTTACAGGAAAAACCATAAAGCCTTTGAACTAAAACAAACACTGTTGTGACAGTGATGTACACTGTTGTTGGTATATATGCATGATTTGTATACAGTGGATCACCTTCATGTTTCCAAACCGACATCATGACCAGCAGCTTTACAGCTGTGGCTCCAGCAAACATCAGCTGATACTAGAAATTAATACTAAATAAATTCTAACAACAGCTGATCAAGCTTAAACGTGCTGCTGTTGTTTAGCACGACATCTGCTGGTTTCCTCTTTCTGGCGCAAAGTGGGCGATAAACAAACAAGAGAGGAAAGCCGATCAGCTGATAGGAGAGGGAGGGGGGAGAATGAGAGAAGAGGCAGCTGTGCAGCAAAGACAGAGTAACTCCAGCTTTGTGTCTTTTTTTTTCACTCTCGCTGAAGTCCGGGACAAATCGCTTCCTCTTCACCTCAATATGGATGTGTTGTAATTTCTCCAGCCCAGAGTTGATCATGACCAATGAGCTAATCCACCACCTTTCATTCTTTACACCGTTACAAAAACAAACAAACATAGAAATGAAAAATCACCATCGGCCCACCGGTACGCCCAATGGCCAGTCCAGCTATGCGCTCAGCTGGTGTAGTGTGTGAGTGACATACTGAATCTATCTAGAGCTGGGAGGCCCCAGAAGACAGAAGTCACGAATGGAAAGAGATCAAACTGTATGTGGTTTCATTACTTATGTGCAATATTGGATACATATGTACCTGACATCTTCCATTAACACACAGGTCCACCTCATACGGTCCACAGGGAGTCCCGTCCATTACTCTGTCAGCCATCAGAACTGGGACGTCTCGGCCCACTGGGCTGCAGAACAACATGCATGGCTTATCTAAACACACACAAAATCCAGTAGTAAGATGTATGCATGTATGACGTTAGTATGATGTAAACTAATAAAAACAGTCAAGTCTGATTTTGAGCCGGTGTTAATTCGAAATAATAGAAATATTAATGGCATGGTGAACTGGGTTCACAAACATTTTTCATAATTTCTATGGACAGGATTTCTAGGCGCAGCCAAGTGGCGGAGGGCTTTCACTTGGGTGGCCTCAGAATCTCATCTCTGCGTTTTGCGGATGATGTGGTTCTGTTGGCTTCATCGGGTGATGTCCTCCAGCTCGCACTGGAACGGTTCGCAGCCGAGTGTGAAGCAGCGGGAATGAGGATCAGCACCTCCAAATCTGAGGCCATGGTTCTCAGCCGGAAAAGGGTGGAGTGCCCACTCCGGGTCGGGGATGAGTTCCTGCCCCGAGTGGAGGAGTTCAAGTATCTCGGGGTCTTGTTCGCGAGTGATGGGAGAAGGGAGCCGGAGATCGACAGACGGATTGATGCTGCGGCTGCAGTAATGCGGACGCTGCACCGGTCCGTCGTGGTGAAGAGGGAGCTGAGTGTAAAAGCGAAGCTCTCAATTTCCCAACCCTCACCTATGGCCACGAGCTGTGGGTAGTTACCGAAAGAACGAGATCGCGGATTGCAGAAATGAGCTTCCTCCGAAGGGTGGCTGGCCTCTCCCTTAGAGATAGGGTGAGAAGTTCAGCCATCCGGGAGGGGCTCAGAGTAGAGCCGCTGCTGCTCCACATCGAAAGGAGCCAGCTGAGGTGGTTCGGGCATCTGAAGAAATATTTCTAGAATTTGTAGCTGCAGTTTTTTTTCTGATTGGTGAAACTCAGTCTGGTACCATCCAACCTAATTACTTTCAATTGTTCTTTCGGTTTCTTTTTAGTACCAATTTTCCAGCCATTTGTTTTCCCGATAAGTGTTGCTGCCATCAGATTAAAACTAAGCTAATATAAATTGAAATTTTCTGTGTTCTATTGGGAATAAATTACGTGTTTGCTCAGTTTTATTGGCATTGTACACAGCCTCCTTTTTTTCTTTTTTGGAATTGGGGATGTCCATTTCTACATTCAGTGTAATTAAAAAATGTGGTCCAAAAACACAGGCAGCTGCCAGTTCTATCCCTGAGCCGTCCAGTAGATACACTCATGGTATCAATTTAAAATTCCCTTCGCTTTGTTCTCAAGTTATCACATTCACAAGACTTTCAGCTAAGGGGTAAAAACTGTAACTGTAATGAGTACTGTAGTTATTCAGAAAAAACATGACTGGAGGACTTTACCTAACATTTCTGTGCATACAGTGTGAGCTTTTACTCTTTACACTCCAACTGGAGAGATTTAAGTGGTTTTTCTGGGGATCCAATCACCCAGGGGTCTAGAGCAGGGGTCCCCAACTCCAGGCCTCGAGGGCCGGTGTCCTGCAGGTTTTAGAGCTCATCCTGGGTCTACACACCTGAATCAAATGATGAGTTCATTACCTCTGGAGAACTTCAGAGGACATGTTGAGGAGGTCATTTAGCCGTTTAAATCAGCTGTGTTGGATCAATCTAAGACCTGCAGGACAGCGGCCCTCGAGGCCTGGAGTTGGGGACCCCTGCTCTAGAGGATGCTCTCACATTTAACTTATTTAATATATTTTCGCTGGCGTCCAAATCAGTTGAGTTGATTGGTTTCCCCCAATTCAAAACTACAATATTTTTAAATGAATGCCTCGTACACAGCAGGGTACCCATCCCAGACTCAGTACTGGCTTGTTAATGGCTAAAGCTGTGGGAGCAGATATTGGGGTAAACAAAGCCTAATCCAATATGATCCATTAACCACTCATGTTACTGACATTATGGTTAATTATAAAGTGAGATGGATTAAGAGTTACATATGATATACGTCACTCTGTGACCCAGTGTGTGTGCTTTCTAGTGTGAGTTAATATTCTTTGATTTGTTGTTATTCACAGTTCTGTTTATGGTCTTGTGCTTATGTTATAGTTTCAGTCTTTAGGTCTCTGTGTTTTGCTGGGTCTCACTTGTTTCGTGCTCTCCTCTGTCAGTCAGTCTCCATGTCACAGTGTCAAGTCCACGTCTTTGTGAATGTGGCATGATTCCTGTTTGATTTTGACACTTCCTGTGTTCAGTGTTTTCACTTTTGCTTCCCCAGCTGTTTTTCCCTCATTATCCTCTGTGTATTGATATAGCGCCAAATGACAACAACAATCCCCTAAAGGACAACCTTTATAGCACTGACTGTTTGTCAGCCTGGCTACAGAGCTGAAGAGAAACCTTCTTATTTTCTTCAATCAGTGATGAATAGTAAGATGTTTTAGTTTTACAGAGGGCTTTCTTATAAAGCAACAAACTATTTCTCCAGGATAAATGATGATCCTCTAAATTTGTGACACGCCATTTCCTCTCCAGCTTACGATTTATCAGCTTTAAAGTATGTGTTTGAGAATTATACCACGGGGTCAGGTACTTCTGATTTGAGCCTTTATTTTTCACCGGAGCTACAGTATCCAGAGTCGTATGTAGTGAGGAGGTGAAATTATTAACAAGATAATCGACCTCTGTTAGGGTAGCGTTCAGATAGCTGCTCTGCTCTGTGTTGGTACAGGGCATTGACGATGATAACAGTGGCTGGATTATATTCTTAAACTTAGTTACAGCGCTTTCAGAAAGACATCTACTTTGATAACGTCTACTCCTCCTGATAAATGTTATCAGGAAATGATCAGACAGGAGAGGGTTTTCAGGAAACACTGTTAAATGTTCCGTTTCTATGCCGTATGTTATATGGCATAGATGTGTTAAAACAAGTGTGTGATTAAAGTGGTGGGTGAGTTCTTTTACATTTTGAGAGAAACCAAATGAGTCTATTAACGAGCATTATTTCAGCGAGAACTAAATCAGATAAAAAGTCTGAGAAATCAGACAGAAACTGTGTGTAAGGCCCAGGTGGACGATCACAAATAAGATTGGTTTTTGAGTTTTCCAGCTGTGGTGGATGAGGCCAAGCAGCAGCCGCAGGGGTCCAGAGGTGGCTGACGCCTCTCTGGACCCCCAGAGTTCTTGAATCCATTCAGCCTGTTCAGTCGTCTGTCTACGCTTGAAGCTCAGCCGGGCAGTCTTAGCCTCCTGTCTCCGCTGAGAGCTCAGGCAAGCCAACCCAGCCTCCTCCGTCGTCTGCTGGGGAATCAGGCGAGCTTATCCAGCCAGCTACTTACTCGGCATTGCTGTCCGAACCTGAGAAGTGTCCTGAGTGGACTGTGTGCACTGCGTAGCTCTGTCTCTGCCAGAGGCCTCCACACCGTCAGGTTCTGATTCAGCTCCGCCACAGCACCACACATGACAATATATGATTTGAAAAGCATTGCCATAGTTTTGAAACTGACATCTGATGCCCAGACATGCTTCCAGACAAATTTATAAACTGCTGTGCTTCAGAGGTTTACAAACTACACACTATTGAAAGGCATGAAAAAGGCACTGATTGTAATGAACGACGTTATGGAACTCACCATCATTAACAATAGCAGTCAGCATGCCGCCCTTCTTGTTGGCTTGTTGGTTATAGGAGAGACACTGCAAGTCTCTGAAGCTGGGTGACCCCTTGGGACAGGGAGGGGCTTCACAGGCCTTGTGTTCCACACTGGCCTGTGGGCAGTGTCGCCCACCTGGACCAGGTCTGTGCCCACACACACACAAACACAAACAGTGTGAACACTTAGTTTAGCAAACAAGAAGACTGGAGCGTTAGTATTAAAGTAACACATGTAAGCATTACATACATTTCATAATGCCTGTAAGGACCTTTTTAATACTAAAAGCAGTATTTATTTCAACCTTATTCAGTAGATTAATACATGCAAAGTGCCTTAAAGCTCATACTTCTTTTTAATAGCCAGCAAGGGGACACCTCTTCTGATTGCAAAAAGACCCTTGCTATTAGGGGTGGGGAAAAAATGGATACTGTGTAGCATGGTGATATTTTGTTTGCTAATAATGTATGGATACAGGGACAGCAGAAATCGATATTTTGTTACAAAAAGGTTTTTGTGCTCTGACTTCAGAGCATGTTGATCCTTTTT